GTGTACATTAACAAAACAGTAAGAGGAAATCCACAACCTTCACATGTGGAACTTCTCAAAAAAAGTCCCTCAGCCTGAAATGAACTTGCAGATTTGAGCAGAAACTAAATGTTATCAAAGAACGACTAACCAGCTCCTTTAGCCCCTTTAAGACGGGAGGTGTGACGACATAATGATCCTTCAGACGGTTTTCATAGAAGGCAATAAGCACTTCCACTGTGGAGAAGAACAGGAAGAAATGCTGAGTGCTGATCGCCCCTTGACACGAATAAGCGTCATCGTAAGACATATATGAATATAAAATGTAGTTATTTGAGTGCATTTTTGATTTGTCACTTTGCAAGAAGCTGTGCAATGCCGGCACAGTATATGGAAGGAGAAAGGTGTACCTTCTCTCTCTGTAAGCTCTCTATAGCACTCCTGCAAAACCTCAGAGAGCAGAAGGACTCCTCGGGCTCGAGTGTGAGGCTGAGAACTGGTCAGACTGGACCTTTAACAGGAAAGGTAATGAAGATGGAAGTTGATATTAGATAGGAATATAATTGCAAACTCTGGCTGGTTCGGGCTGATATTTTCCCCTGACATGACGATGAACACAGCTTACCCCAGTGCTTCCACCAGCTGCAGAACTGTAAACTTCCCATCTTTGACACCTGAACAAAACAAACAAACAAACAAATAAGTTTAGTGAAGTGAAGTGATGAGCTACAGCAATGCAAGAACACGCATGCTCTAACTCTAGTAGTTGTACCAGGTTATAATTCAAAGGTAAGGCCACAGGGTTCATTGACAGGCTACCTTACACAAACTCAGCAGCTAGCAACCAGCATGTGCTTTAACCACTACGAACTAGCATCAAATTAAGAGTCCTTGTGAAGTGGCAATGTGTTCAAACTCGATGTATACATTCAGAGTGTGCATTTACATCGACAAAATGAGTAAATATATTTTCACAGCGAATGCTTACTCTTTATCTTGCGGTAATAACACTACACAGGATGTTGTGGCGCTAAGTTAGCTAGTTAACCATCACGCCTCGCTGCGCATCCTCGGAGAGCAGCTCTACAGCCTCTCCGGTGTTACTCTTATGAAAAATGTCACCGGCAAACCGCGACGAAAGCCTTTTACCTTTTGCTGCATCTTTGGCCTTGCTGTCCTGCAGTCCAGACACAAATTCCTCCACCAGAGACAGCGCCAAGGTACTGTCCGCTGCCATCGTGTCCCTGTAACTACTTCACTGGCACTACGCATGCGCGAAAACTTTAGGTGAATCGCGAAAAGCGATTGGTTTTAGATTATATCTGATAAAAATAAAACCGTTAAAACCAGTATAATATTATTTCCACACGTTTTTCACATTTATAGAAATGGTGGAAGAAAATCTTCAATATTATTTTTCCTTTAATGCTGCATTCAAGTACTGTCCGAACAATGCATTACAAATACTAGAACTAGTACGTCCTCTCCCTTCCACTAAAGTTTTGCTTTTCAAGAGGTTCCAATTAATTACTACCAGTATGATTTCAAGTAAGAGTATTGACATTAGAAGAACGTGTATCTGTTATATGATAACTCCGCTGTACAAATTAATTTGCGGACTCCTCCGTTCATAATTGCGTCAAGTCCCGACGCAATAGAAACCAACACCTGGCTGGATGCTTTTGCGCAAGCGTAAAGAAAAAAGTTCGGCGGCGCTAGCAGACTGCCGCTGGTCACCTTTCACCAGCGAAGTAGGGAGAAATTTTTAGGGGGGCTATTTAAAGAAAACACTGTACCGAGCTAGTCAAAGAACTGAAGTACTCCTTCGTACGGCGGACAGAGGGAGACTGTAATGACCCGCTGCGTTTGTCAGAGACGGAAGATGCGGGGAAATGATATCGTGCGCGCGGAAGTTTGTGTTTACTTACGCCGTGGTAGCTAGCGTGTTGGCCCTGTTAGCCTGTTAGCGAGAAAGGTGCGCTGTGTCTGGACGGGTTAATAGCAACACTTACAAGTCAGCCCAGCTACGTTAAACAGTAGAAACATACTGTATATATCCTGAAGCTAACAACGAGCTGGTGGCAGATGCTGGGGATTGCTCAAACTCTTGAAACATTGGTGCGGGCCACGAGCCGTGAACTCTGCGTGCGCGTGTCAACACGCAGGCAGAAGTTATTTACAAAGAGGGCACTTTAAGCCCTAATCTCAAACGTATAGACCTGCAAAACGTGATTTAAATATTAACTGCCGCCCTCAGTGCGGTTACGAATGACATATCAGGCTTGCGTCCCTGTGCGTGAAAACCATCCTCCTCATCGGACCTAGTACATCGTCCTCGTCCGCAATGGGGCCCCTGTTTAGCCAGTGAGACCCGTAAAAGCGATCTGGAGCCCGTTAGCCATGGGGGGATGTATGGGCAGATACTTGGAAGGCTGGGAAGACTCGCAGAGTCGGGGCTCCTCCAGGAACGGTGGACGAGGAGGTAAGGCAACATTGTGTGGATGTTGTATTAATATGCGGAGAGGTTTCTTTGAAATATAAGAGCTGGAAACTTAAAGTCATACAGCAACAGTGTCTCTGTCCGTTGATGATCAGTGATGCCAAAAAAGAGAAATATTTCGGCGTTGATAGTTTTGTGTTGCTATAACAATAGCAGGTTCAGATTTATCTGAGAGTGCATTTCTGGCCACCACTTGTGATTCGCATCCCTTTTTTGTGTCGTGGCTGCTGTTAAACAGAGGTCGATACCTCTGTTTAACAGCAGCCACGAGAGGGCAGGTGCACGAAATCTCCATTCACGATTCCTCACACACATCAGGAAACTGGATTCTGCTGTAGCTGTCTGACTTTGATGTGTGCCTCTTCTGTATCAGTAAAAAAGGGCTTGATTCTTTAGCTTTGACGAGGTAGTTTTTCATCTTATCAGTTCAGACTGGTGAAGCTGTATATTCAGATAACATCTGTACCAAAGTTGATGACAGTAAGCTCGTTGGGTGATTTTCGTATATTAAAATCTAGGGCGTAAGCTCTGTGTTGTGGTTACTGTAACAGCCAGCTACGTTACATTAATTCCAGAAGTTGCTCTCTTTTCACATCAGTTTATGTCTGTTGGTTACGGACTTTCCTGGAAGTTAACATAATAATAAACTGCTACTTTGTTAATCAAACTAAAGTTAACCATCAACACACAGGCGCAGTGCAGCTGAATTATTAGACACTGGGAACTTCTACTTTTCCAGAAAACAATGGTGATTATATTTTGTGTGACCTTGTTATGATACAGTCATTATTGGGAGATTAGGGCTTTACAGCCTGGCAGGTTCATGAATGGGGGTCACGTAAACATTTTGGGATGGGAAAAGACTTTCCAGCTTTTTCATATTTCTGTCATATTGCTTTAAAAGCATGCTCGGTTGTGTGACTACAGTGCAAGCACACTTGAGCTCAGTGTTTGCCTTAGAGTGGCTGCTCAGGAAACTAAATGTCTGTTATTCATTTGGATGCAGGTTCTGTCCCCTTGATTTGTTACTGCTGGAAAGTTTTTCAGTCCGCCTTTTTCCAGTGGGAATTGTCTCCAGTTTGCATCAGAAAGATGGGAGGTTTTGAAGATGGAGTCCAACTTTCGCCATATAAAAAAGGGCGTTGTTTGAATAGACTTTCTGACCCCTGCTTATGGAGTTGCATCCTAAAATTAGACTCTAACATAGATTTTTGATGCCAATATGACCTTCAAGGTAAGTTTCTTTGTCGTGTGCCAGAGTAGCTATTTAAAGTTAAAGCTGTCAGAGCCAAGATACCCAGGCTTTCTGGCAGTGGCTCATGTTGATTTCCCAACTTGATTAGACTCAACACGCTCCCTTTGCTAGACAAGGCTTCGATCAAGAACAAGTCACATCATGCCCCGCTGTATCAGTGACTGAGACTGATACTGACTGTAACTCTGTTACATACATGCTCATAAAGAAACCCCATTTGATAAGAGGAAGAATTGGATAGCTCATATGGGATCTCAATTTTTTCGTTTGTTCCAATTTTGTTTGGATAAGAGCTCACTAATTTGTGTTACTATGTTCGTGTTAGGTCTGCCTACCACACGCTTAAAGGAACAAAAAGGAGTCTCGTTTGCATTGTGATGCTGAGAAAAATAATGGAAGAACATGTTTGGACTTTAAATAAAGATCAGCAGAAACCCGTTATAAGATAGTAACGCATTTAGAAGCAGCATGGATGTAACTGAAAGGTGATTAGAAATGCACAATTTCCAGTTTATTTTAAATATTGATTTTTAAAAAGTCAAATATCAATCAGGCTATAAGAGTATACAAAACCTGCTGAATATATATGCACAAGGTTCGCTTGCTAGTTTTGTAAATCACCTAATAATAACGGTAGACTGATTAACCATGATAATGTCAAAGCTCTCAATGATTAGGATCTCAAGAATCAACAAAACAATTCACTGGAAAGTAAGCTGAACTGTAAATGAAAGTGAAACCTGCCCGTTCCAAGGTGGTCTATCTATTTTGAATGTAATTGCTTTGATTCTGACCTGGAGGCGTTCAAGTCATATTTTCACTTTATTGGCTCGTCTCGTACCGAGCAGGGTTACTGCTACATCAACACATCATCGCTCTGGTTGAACCAAACCCGTTTCACAGCTGTCTCAAGCACATTCCCATTTAAAGGGTGACCACTATTAGAGTGATCAATCCAGCATAAACAACATAAACATACACATGGACAGAAGTAATGGGCCACACCTCTTAATCTTTGAATGCAGGCTTTGTCACAACGTATATAATCAGTCACATAGTCGTGCCGTCTGCCTTTACAAACAGTTGTGTAAGAATGGGTCGCTCAAAAGAGCTCACTTAATAAGAGGATGATATTATATTAGGATGGAGTTGTGTCATGAAGGGCATCCAGCATAAAAACCTGTCAAATCCAACACGCAGAGCAACCCGCTGTGACGACCCCCTGTGGCTGTGGGAGCAGCCGAAAGTAGCTTTTAGAGGCTGACTGTATCTTTAGCTGCAGAAAGGTGAAGGAAACAAAAGTGGTGATAAGATAAGCAGTTACAGCACGTGAGTGAGTGTGCGCCAGTACGTCCTCATATTGATTTGGTCAGTGGCAATTCGGTCAATGTCATCTGGCAGCGGCGTTATCTTTGTTGCTCTTTAAAGGAAGAATGTGGACAACCACACCTTCCCCCCTGATAGTTTGCCTCATTTCAAGGGAATGTGTGCAGCTGTTAAATGTCTTTGCAGGTTCAAAGCAACATCTTGGTAAAGTAAAGCATTTGTTCCTAGCGTTAGGTAATCTTCATCAGCCACCTGTAGATGTCGGGTGTGCTGTTTTTGCAGCACAAGGAAGCCTTGTTGCTGTTTTCTGTTTTATGAGGCATTTCACCGAGTTTTTTTTTAAGACACACACACTTATCCCCATAAATTTTATTTCTGTCACTCGCGCTCTCTCACCGTACTGCAGTTTCAGCAGTATTCTCCTATAATGTGAACATTTTTGCACGCGGTCACACTCCCTATTCTTTTTCTATACAGTTTAGCTCACTGCTTATAAGTACAGACACAGTGACACTGATTCATAGGAGTGTACTGCAGCACTGCTGTTTGCCTGCGTGTATCAACCCATCCCCTCTTCTGATGAATTTTGTTAATATTCAAACTTTAAACTCCTGAGCATCTCAGTGGAAGATGAAGAGGATTAACCAGTATGAGGCCAAAGTCTCTGTTACCTTATTTGACCAAAATAAAAAAGCTTAATGACTAAGACATTATATGTGCACTACACTGCTCACATAATGTTGAGGTCCGGGCTTTGTGAAGGATAGTCTGTGACCGATAGTGTTACACGTACATATTTCCTACCCAGGTATGCTTTTACTGCATTTATAGTGTTTTTGAGATCATTGTCATGCTGAAAAATGCCAACTGTGAATCAATACCATGCAGTACCATTTGGAAAGAGATGGCACTGCTTGGCAGATTATACCCTAATGGTACTTTCCTGTGTTCATAATTCCGTTAGTTTTGAGAAGATCTCCAACATCACTGACTAAGGGGTAGTAGACTGCTTTAGACCAGGGGTAGGCATCTCCAGGCCTCAAGGGCCGGTGTCCTGCAGGTTTTAGATCTCACCCTGGGTCAACACACCTGAATCAAATGATTAGTTCATTACCAGGCTTCTGGAAAACTTCAAGACATGTTGAGGAGGTAATTTAGCCATTTAAATCAGCTGTGTTGGATCAAGGACACATCTAAAACCTGCAGGACACCGGCCCTTGAAGCCTGGAGTTGCCTACCCCTGCTGTAGACATTGCCCTTTGCACCACTCCTGACCTCATCTGTACTTACTGATAACACTTTGAACCAAAAATCTCATATCTGGATTCATCCAGCAAAGACCTTTGCCAAGTCTTTGCTGGATTGTCTGCTATTATTCTTAAGAACATGACTTTTAGACACTTAATTTGTTGTAGATGATATTCAAGGCCACTCCATTTATCTTTGGTCTTCCACCTGTCGGGTTTCCTCTTTAGGAATTAACTTTTAGGACAACATTACAATGCTGTGCCTGTCAAAATGTGTAATCTTTGGCATTGTTCATAGATTCAGCAAAAGAAATGGGTATTTCGTGCTTTGGTGACAGGCTGCTAGTAACAAAGTGCCTAAAGAAGCCATTCACAATTGGCTCTTTTCTAAGTTGCCTGTTAGGCACAAAACTGGTTCATTCCTTGAGTTAGAAGCCTTTTTGATGCTTGAATGATTTATAGGTCGTTGTTAAATGGCTTAACAACCAAACAGAAAAGGAGTAGGGTCCAAAGAAAACCTTTGCAAGACCTTCAGAAAGCCGGGAGAACTATTGCTCAAGATCCCATTAAAAATTACAAGTCTGGTTTCTTGGAAGCAAAATATAAAGAAATAAGGGCTGGCTCAAGACTTTAGAACAACCCTGTACTAACCAATAGATATAAATGCAGAATAAAGTGACACAGACTGTGGGGAGGAAAAAAACAGTTTGCAATAGCTGTAGGCAAAACTTGAAAAGAAGACATTTAAGTAGTTGTTGTTGTTGTTGTAATACAAGCCTCTTTTGTATGACGCGTTTTGCAAGTGTTACGTCACGTTGCCTCGGCAGAATGGAAACAGATAGTTGAGGATTTACAGCATGTGTTTCTTAGAAATGAGGAGGTCTTTATGGTCTACCCAAGTTTTATAGAGCCATGTTGCACAATGGAGTTTTCAATGAGCTCATGAGAGTTTGGAATCTCATAGTGCCTTTAATGTATGCAGTGTTTATTACTGATGATACTGATGCAATAAGCTTCTAAGAGCCAGCATGTTCCATGTTAAGGGCTATGTGCTACAAAATAGGAGCAGGTGGACCTGTCGGTAGCTTTTCTGAGCTGAGTGATCTGTAAACAGAGCATATAAAGACAGTGGCGGCACTATTGTAGTAATAATGCATGTGTTTTTTTTTTTGGGTTTTTTTAAGTACCATTACAGATGCTTTAAAAACACTTTTAAACTACAGAGACGGGCCGTGTCTTTAACTGCAGAAAGCTGAATGATGTAGCGTGGTGATAAGATGACTGACTACAAGGTTGAGCCCACTTGGGTGTCCTGTACACTGTGTACGTCCACGTTGACATAACTGCAATATGTCTATAGCGCACGAATGTCAAACACATCTTCACATCATGGGCGACATACAGCCTAATCAGACCAGTGATAGTCCTTTCTGTCAGTATACAGAAGTTTAACCATACATCGAATTCCTCAGATATCTTCATATTAAGGAAAGAAGTACTACAACCTTTCTTCATCATGTAGAAAAACTCACTTACTTTTGAAATTGTAAGTTAAAGAAATCTGTCACCATGACTCTGTGGAACCAGGTTGTAGATATTAGGTGTGTAAAATTACAGAAAAAAATGGTAATAATATAATATTTTTTAACCAGGACCCATAAATACATTTTTTAAAAAAGCAAAAACAAAAACATTTGTGTTGTGGGTAGTGAAAAAAAATCGACTTTTCTGCCATTTCATTCTGTATGAATTACTTATTTACCTGGTGTAGTATATATTGCCATGTAGGTTTTCATCAGTAATGCTATAAAAGTTATGAAAATAAAGCTAAAACTAGGGATGTTCCTAGTGACTAATTTCTTAGTGTACTTTTCCCCTTCATTTAGTCAACTAACTATTCTAAAATGAAGAAACAAGTTAAATTTGTCAAAAACTCTCTACACAAAGGCATTTTAAGCATTTAACACATTCTTTAATCAGTCATGGTGCTTAACTGTGCAGCACCTTGGTTATGAGCATTATGAGCATTTCATGTTCTCCAGAAAAACACTTCTTCACCTGTTGAAAATGTGACAAATTATCATCAGAAAAACAAATAAACTGTGACTGAAAAGTGTGGGACATTGTGCTGTGTGTTATGAATGATGCACGCTGTTCCATATTCATGCCAACCACTTCAATAAAAGTTTAAATCTAAAATGACAAAACGATAGAACGATAGCAATTTTTTTTTCTGTTTATCTGGAGTCGGGGCGCAGGGGCAGCAGCCTATGCAGAGAAGCCCAGACCTTGCTCTCGCCTGCAACCTGATCCGCTTAATCTGGGGAATGTTGTACCATTCCTAGGCCATCCAATAGATATAATCTCTCCAGCATATCTGGTGCCTCCTCTCAGCAAGACATGCCCGGTCACCCAGAAACCTCACCCAGAAACTGCCCGCCTTTCCTTTCGATGTGGAGTAGCAGCGGCTCTGAGCCCATCCTGAATGGCTGTACTTCTCAGGGAAAAACCATGCACCCCTGGGTGAAAGTCCATTTCCGCCGCTTGTATCCACGATTTCGTGCTTATACCTTTTAAAAGGACTAACAATATTTGTGTTAATAATAAGATCAGTCCCAAGATTGGTGCATTCATGCTGTTTCTCAACAATGATCCTCCATCTGATGGCAGATGGCTGCATAACATTTGGGACACAGCAATTAATCTGCATTGGATATCAATTCAAATGTTTTTGGCTCTCATGGACACCACAGGCCTTTTTTTTTTTTTTTTTGCTCAGTGGTAGTGAGGAACCTGCTTTGGTTTACTTGGGATTCACTCACCTTTAAATGCTAATCCTACACCAGGATTACTTGTCCTGAGCCTCCTGCACTATAGATAATTGGTCTGGAAGAAAGGCAACTCTGCATGCGAGGTGTCCCTTTTGTATGCTGTATTTTCCATCAGTCCACTCTTCAATGTGTGGCAGCTGTGACGCAGTCATTAGCAACTATAGGCAAGTTTAGTACTCAGTTTTATTGTCAAGCTTTTACGTTGATTTATAGCTTCATGTATTTTATTTCTGGACATCCGTAGCTTCAGTCAGAGGAATTTTATGCCGGCTATGATACAAACAGGTGTGGAAAATCACTGGAAGTTTCAATGATGGGTGGCTGATCCTAGCCTGTTGTCCTTATGCTTTCCCTCCAGATCAGTCAGTGTTCTCCTGGCCTAGGTGTGCTCTGTATTAATACTGAATAGTGGGAAACATGAAGGTAAGGTTACATAGACAGATCTAGAGTAAGCATACGCTTCATGGATACAGCAAACTCTGAATGACCTCCTAATTTTAGATTGAGAAGACATGTTAGGGTGGGGTAGGACGATCTTTCTCTGATGACAGCTCGAGTTTCTGTCTGGCAGTTCTGTTTATTACAGTGAGGAGATGAAAGAACAGAGTTAAGGCTGGGCTTTCCTCATTAGCCAAGCTGCCTGCTCTCTGCATTCGGCATTTACACATGATAATGAGGATTGTGAAAACGACTTCCACTGACTGTCGTGTTTGGATTCCTGTTGTTTCTTCCTCCATTTTTACAATAGTAAGAAGGGAAATAAATTGTACATGTGGGTGAATTAATCAACACTTGTTTTGTAATGAGAGGACCTCATGCTGTGTTCAAATGTTACCTTAAATTAGGTGTTTTCAGAATTCTGCCTCTGACCTTAGAATTGAGTGGGGTGTTTGTTTTATTTGTTGCGCGTTATGAGTGTGAAACTTCAGCATTAAATTAATACACTCCTCTACCTTTACAGGGCGTAACGAGCCTCTGAAAAAAGATCGTCCCAAATGGAAGAGTGACTACCCGATGACGGAGGGCCAGCTACGGAGCAAGCGGGATGAGTTTTGGGACACGGCGCCGGCCTTCGAGGGCCGCAAGGAAATCTGGGATGCTCTGAAAGCAGCCGCTGTGGCCTTGGAGTGTAACGACCATGAATTAGCTCAGGCTATAGTGGATGGAGCCAGCATCACACTGCCACACGGTGAGGAGAGAACACACACAGTATACTTATACAGTACAGTTCTCACCTCACTCTCACATAGGCTGCTTAAACCAGACTTAACTTACAATGTGACCTGTTTTTCTGTGGCATCTTCTCAGGTACCCTGACAGAGTGTTACGATGAACTTGGGAACCGCTACCAGCTGCCCGTCTACTGCCTGGCACCACCCATCAACCTCATCTCAGAGCGTAGTGACGAAGACCCCAGCGACAGCCCTGAACCCCCAGCAGCATCCAAGAAGGAATTCCAGCTCAAGGTACCACGACTAGTACATCTCCTTTAAGACACGGGTCACGTTACCAACTGATTAGGACTAAATGGTGTCATCTGCATATTAATCCACACTGTAAACACTGTACTCAATGTAATCAAATAGATGTACTGGTCTAATATTAATTCAGAGTAACTGATTAAGTTTAGACGAATATTCAGTTGGGTGTATTAGTAACTCAAGAGGCAATGGTTGCCTCAGTCTTTGTTTTGGGGTTTTCCTTAAAGTTTGCATAAAAAACTAAATATGTAAATCTCCACACAGTCATGCCAAAACTACAGTTCCAAGGTTTTGCATATCAGAACATGCTAAAAAGTGATCTAGTCCTCGAGCAAGTCATAAAAACTGATAGAATTGACTTTTTATACTGCCATTAATCATGCAATAAAAAAATGCAGAAACAGTGTGTGAAATGCTGAGTACACCCTTACTGCTTCCACAACAATTAAGGGGGTAGATAGCAGCCAGGTGCTAGTGATTTGAATGGATTTGTTTGCTGGTCAGCAAGTGTGAGCACTTCTATAAAAGCAGAAGTTTTAGTAGTTTGCTATTCTGGAGCATTCAGGTGTGTGTCGACACAGTTCCAGACAGAAAAGACAGCATTATTCGTACCTACAGTTCATTTAGTCTGCTCCAAATCAGTTGATGACTTTGTAAACTTGTAGCTTTTGCTTGTATTTTGGTTTCTTTTTGCACACAGAAAAATCTATATTAATTCCAAGTGAACCAAAATGTTTCACTGCAAGTCAAGTGAGAGTGTTCAGTTTGCTGATTGGCCAGATGTGTCTGAGGTGAGAACAACTAAAGTAAATACAAGAAGAACGTGCTGTGCTCCCGACTATTGAACATGACCATGAAGAATTTGCAATCACGTCACAACTAGTTGTCTGTATAGACTTTTGTACATCTATAGTACCTTGCCTCATCCCAGAATACAAAGCATACAAGGGTCCAGGAAGATTTTAGCTCAAGCCTACAGCATTTGCACCGTAAAGAAAGTGTTCTGGAGTTCATTTGGAACCACACCAAGACCAGCTCCTCCACAGTGGTGTGGTTGTTTTTGTCCGCACCCAAGTGCGATTACCGTGGTCACACCTGCACAAACGAACCGCAAGGGGGAAAACGAACCAGTTCAATTTAAATGGACCAAACACTGCAGATATGAAAACACCCTAAGAGAAACAACAATTGCTTCCACCTGTGTGGGAAGGGTTATGAGGCCATTCTCAGTGACAAAGATGACTCTCACGTGGAAAACAATTATGTCAGCCACCATTCTTCCCAGCAGTGGAAGTTACAGAAAATCCCCCCCACTTCTCAGACTCTGCAGCCCTACTTTAACATTTAACATGCTGAAGTGAACTGTTAAAGTTCTTGACAGAACAACTAGACAAAGACTGAACAAAGTCTCTTCTCTCTAAAAAGAACAAAACAGCATGTCTTAGGTTTCAAGAATTGATAAAGTCTAGGTATTTTTTTTATTCTGATATGGAAAATCTTAATATTAGTAGAGTGTGACTACATCTGGGTCAAATCATCATTAATGTTGTGGCTGTGCTTCTCCTGATTAATTGTTAAACTGCTGCAGATTGACAGGCTCTGGGAAAGTTGATGTAGTTACACATTACTCTGTTTTTGTGTTAGCTAGCTGTTTGAGCCGGTTTATCAGCAGCTGGTTTCACCTTTGGACAGAAAAACAGATTTCATCCAACATTTACTTCCTGTGGTTATGAGTCATATCCTCATATGTGCCTAATAAGTGCAAACAGATGCTAGAGAAGCTTATGTACTAACATTCATGCAGCTTTTGACATTTATTAAGACTTCTTACGGGGTTAAAACTGTAAAATGCCAACACAAAACAAGCCACGGACCAGTTTTTGAGTTCTTTGCATTTGGAACTTGGCTCACCTCTCCATGCAGCATTGTTAGCTCACTCTTCTGCTCTCTGCTCCCCTGTAGGTGCGGCTGTCCACAGGAAAGGACTTGCGTCTCAGCGTCAGCATGGTTGACACCATAGGCCAGCTGAAGAAGCAACTGCAAGCTCAGGAAGACATCGACGCCGTTCACCAGCGCTGGTTCTTCTCCGGGAAGCTGCTCACGGACAAGACACGGCTGCAAGACACTAAGATCCAGAAGGACTTTGTGATCCAGGTCATCGTCAACCCACAGGCACTCCAAGCCCCCAAACCATCACCACCGACAACCACCGCCTCCTCTCCTGTGCCCGAGTAACCGAGGACCGTCAGAGGAGCGATGCAGTCTGTGATGGACCAGAGGTGCCTCCCAATGCTGGATAACTTATTCTTCTTGACAAAAGCTACTGTTACTGAAAGAGAAATAAACTGTGAGGGTGAAACAAACAAAAACAGACAAAGAAGAAACTGAAAAGTGCTGCTTTTTTCCCCTTTTTTCTAAATGTCCCTGTGTGTGCACGTGTGTGTTTTTTGGGGGGGATCTGCTGAGTCGTTCCAGTCATCACACTAACCAGAGATGCCTGTCATCGTTGCATATTAAAGCAGAGCTCCTCGCGCTGGTGTGCAAGCCTTTTCTCAGTGCACAGAACGTGCACATCAGAGCTGCACATGCAGACTCTGCCTTTGCCCTTTAGCCTGCTAACACAGTGCCAACAGAGGAACTGCAGAGGCGTTGGTTCTAGAGCGAATTTCTGCTATGACACCTATAAACTCAGCACTGTTGCTCTCTTTCTCCTCCACAGAAACAGGAAAGGAAAGCAGGAAAAAAGAAACGTGCTGAATATTCTTCTTTTTTTTTTTTCCTTTCCCTTACTGAGGAAATAAAGTCAACTGGGCTTTTTTTGCACATTTAAAGATTAGTACTATACTTTTGTGGTAGTTTGTGTGCCTTCTACAAGACAAAAGGGGGGGGGGGTAATCACTGCAATTTTACTGTTGGGCTAATATATCTTCTTTTTTTTGTTTGTTTTTTTTAGATTCAGGAACTTTTAGATGGACCTAAGCTATAAGTGTTGCCTTTATTTCTTTTAAAAGATTTCGTAAGTCTTGCGGACAGAAGAGAATGGTTGTGTGTGTGTGTTTGTGTGGAGGGGGTGTGCGACAAGATTACGAAGCTGACCCATATGATGCATTGAGAGTCGAGACTGGACTAAAAGTCATAGCTTAAGTGGTTAATGTCATTGATTTAAGGGAAAGCGGAATTCCCTTGAAAAAAGTGTCGTCTTAACCGCTGCGTTGCTGACTGCGCAGTGACGCCCTGACCAGCAGGAGGGAGCAGCACAGGCCTTATTAAATTTGATCAGATCAGTTGTTTATGGTCACTTGTTTTGTTTTGTTTTTCCCCTTCCACCACCGGATGAATGTAAATCCATCTTTTTTTGCTCTCGATGTGGTCTGGTAATGTTGAACAATAAAAGAAAGAAAGGAGGGGAAAAAGGGCATTTTCTCTTCACCAGCAGGTATGATACGGAGCGGCGAGTGAAAACAAAAAGCTCAAGCTGATTCCTTTTTTTTTTTTTCTTTTTTTTTTCTCCCTTCAGTAAAACTGGCCATACTGGTGATCCCCTACATATCATGACTGTTGCTTACAAGCACACCCCAGGGATTTCCACACGATGTCCAGTTTGCTTCTCATGTAAAAGCAGTTGTTTAAGGCCTTCTGTGTGGCAGGAAGGCCCCACAGAGTGATTTAAAAAAAAAAAAAAAGGTGAATTTAGGAACTAAGCATTCATTTTGCATATAGCAAACTCAGCGTATGGCAGTAGGCGAGGTATGGTCTTAAGCAGGCAGGGAAAGGGAAATGCAGCATGCTGCTTTATGGGATTTTTTTTTTTAGGGGGGTACTAATACTGCTGGAGTTTTCCTTTAACAAGTTTTAATTTAATCATATTTTCACAGATCTGACTGGAAAGCTAAAAATAAAACCAACCAAAATCTGTGCTTCAAGGCGAGAATGTTTTTTTTTCTGTGGTGGCTTTCCTGTAAGCTGGTGTCGATTCAGAGAACAAGGAGAGGTTTTTTCGAGCTTGTTTGTCTGTCTTAGTTTCACACTGAGCGGTGAGCACGCACTGCCTGTTTTCTTTACATCATAGCACATCTGTTAGTGTTCATGCCCCGACTCTAACCGGCTCTTGAAGAGCAACAATAATTGTTTGGAGGGAAGAGAGCCATCAGGTTTGTCGCCAGCCGCAGCGGTCACCAGAGGAAACAAACGAGTGAGATGTGATATCTGTATGTAAATCTGCAGACGAGCTGCAAGATCTTTGGCAGTGGAACATTTTCACTTTTTATTTATAGCTGCTAGCAGTCCAGAGTTCACTCGACTTCGCTCACCTTAAGCAGCCTTTGTTTGTATGTACCCGTGGAGAGCATTAGCTATCATCTGGGAACTTTTTAAATTTAACAGTATTCATAAGTGATGACCAGTGCACAAAATAAGCTTGGCTGATGCTGGAATCCCTGAAAAATTAGATGTTGTCCCCAGAGGCTGGACTCCCAGATTGATGAGCTACAAACAAAACAGCCCCACATTCATCCCCCTCATGCTGGACCATCTGAATCCACTTTAAACCTCTGTGGCTGTGTTCACACTGGAGCTCAGTGAAGATGATTTTGCCTGAATAATAGCCATGGATCTCTCGGTGTGAAAAACACCGTGCTTTATTATCACAATCACCCTTTCTTGTATTTGCAATCAGAGATATGAGACTGCTTTCCTGAGCAGTGTGTTTGCACAAGAGTCTGTTTGTATGGGAGGAAAAATAAAAGCCATAATCCTGATCATGACATTTATGTCACTGCGTAGCACACCCCAGCTGATTTTCTTTTCTTCAGTGACTCATTTCAAACTCAAAGTGCATTTAAGCTACATTTTTTTTTTCTGTTGTCCTGTTTCTGCACACAAAGGAGGAAAGCCAAAGATACAAGAGCACTCTGTGCATCAGTTCCAGGTCACGTTGCAGAATAACGCATCAGCTGGTTCACTGTCACAAACGCCCACAGCTGGACGAGCTTTGTTTTCATTCTCCGCTCCTGTTGCACAAATATCCTGCATCATCAGCATCGTGGAGGTAATGAAACTGACCTGAGCCACAGCAGCAGTTCACCACATCAAGATGATGTTCCTTCTCTCTTTGTCTAGCCACTTTTCAGCCTTGTGGTTCATTAACTTGTGTGTGTTTTAAGGATGTTTTTCTTTCCTCCTTCACCTTTTACCTGTGGTTCCTAAAGGGATATGTTTTGTAACTATCGTATGCAAACTTGAACAAGCGTTTGTCTCTGTATGTGCAATACAATAGACATAGACCTCATCAGTTTCGTGTCTGATTTCTGCTTTTGCTGATATCCAACAGCACCAGCCATGAGTATTGTCAAAAGGTACAATCTGCAGTGCTGCAATCACCTGTGTTTGTGTTGTCTCTTTAAAATGTGTTGCTAGCTGTCGCCTTGACCGCCCCGTCCCCACGGGCTCTTAATATTTCTAGAGTAAATATCTAAAGATTAAAATTTGCCTACACAGTTTCATTTTAGTGTCCATTTAGCATTCTGCGGCGCTCATCTCGGCCGTTAAGGTTAGTGTCGTCGGACTTGAGGGTGCTCTGCTGACAGTTTTAATTATGGCATCTCCTGTTATGCCATTCTTGTGAAGTAAGCTTGTTTGCTTGCTCCGTGTCTTCAATTTGTCCTCTTTATTAATGTCTTTGAGACTTTGAGCACTGACCATTGTCCGACATTAAAGGGACCACATGTTATTACACTGTAAAGTGCTTTAAGGTGCCCTCAGAGAACTGCAAACAGGACCCCTGATCGACAGTATACAAACTACTAAAGCCCACCCCCCTCCCATTAACGGTTCAATATGCCAATTAAAGGCAAAGTATAAATATCTGTATGGTTGCATCATAGGAGTGTGCTTCAAACCACAGCCAGACATTTAGTTTTTGCATTATTTAGCCCCCTAAACCTAGAACCCTAGTCACAACCTTGGTTATTTTTATTAAATGTCTTTGTTAAACCAGGCTCTGTGCACACTCACCATATCATATAAAATATGGACATGGCTTGTAGGACTAACAACTGAAGCCTACACTTAAGTGCCTTAAACCGGTATTGTTTTTAACGGCCACCAGGGGGCCATGACTGGTTGCATAAAAAGATTTCTCATCCTATCCGGTTGTTCAGTGATGACGCGACGAATCCTACTTCCGGGCCTAAAGTAGTCTGCGTTTAATATGGCTTTTGTGTTGTTAACATGTTTAATGTTATGTATTTTCTTCTATTTGATCTCAAAAAGCTCCTAAAACAGTCAGTGATCACTGTTGACCTCCCTCGGCTTTTATTACCGCTAATCATTTATTTAAGCTCAGTTTTTAAAACCTTAGGATGTAACTACAGCCCAGCCCATGCAGCAGTATATGAATGACTAACCTCGTATTGTGGATGGATTATCTCAGTTGTTCTCCTGGCTGAAGTTTGGTCCTTTTACAGCATCCTGCCATGCGATTACATTTGTTCCTGACCACCGAGAACACTCACGTTAACTTTTATCGAGTGGAAAAAAAGTTAGCTTGTTTATATTATGCTAACATAGCTGTGTCGCTAGCGGTCACGTAGCACATCATTATATACCAGCTAGCCCAACTTCAGTAACCCTACAAACGTCACTGCTGTTTAGTTTTCTGTCTTCATTTATGCTGGAAGTGATAGCAGAGCTGTACGTTTTAATTTGTTTCCAAAACCCCGCAGTCAGGACATGCTATATTGTATTTAGATAGAAGCTAGCGAGCTAACTCCCTGCTAACTTCTAACTCCGTTAAATGTCATAAATTCCGTTTTCATGGATGCCTGGATGTTAAACTCAATTGTTACACCTGGTAGAGCAGAACGCTGATCATTTTATTAAAGATGAAAGACTTAGACAGTTTTTCAACTCTCAGTAATGCCATAGTGATCGTCAGACTGAACGTCACTAGCCGTGTCTGGGCCTAAACTCCGCTGCAGGTCCATATATCACTGTGGCATTACCAGGTGTAACAATTGAGTTTAACATCCAGGCATCCATGAAAACGGAATTTATGACATTTAACGGAGTTAGAAGTTAGCAGGGAGTTAGCTCGCTAGCTTCTATCTAAATACAATATAGCATGTCCTGACTGCGGGGTTTTGGAAACAAATTAAAACGTACAGCTCTGTTATCACTTCCAAGCATAAATGAAGACAGAAAACTAAACAGCAGTGACGTTTGTAGGGTTACTGAAGTTGGGCTAGCTGGTATATAATGATGTGCTACGTGACCGCTAGCGACACAGCTATGTTAGCATAATATAAACAAGCTAACTTTTTTTCCACTCGATAAAAGTTAACGTGAGTGTTCTCGGTGGTCAGGAACAAATGTAATCGCATGGCAGGATGCTGTAAAAGGACCAAACTTCAGCCAGGAGAACAACTGAGATAATCCATCCACAATACGAGGTTAGTCATTCATATACTGCTGCATGGGCTGGGCTGTAGTTACATCCTAAGGTTTTAAAAACTGAGCTTAAATAAATGATTAGCGGTAATAAAAGCCGAGGGAGGTCAACAGTGATCACTGACTGTTTTAGGAGCTTTTTGAGATCAAATAGAAGAAAATACATAACATTAAACATGTTAACAACACAAAAGCCATATTAAACGCAGACTACTTTAGACCCGGAAGTAGGATTCGTCGCGTCATCACTGAACAACCGGATAGTCATCAATGGGAAACCGTTCCTTGTCCAGGTTAAAGGGGAGCCTAAAAACACTGGCTTACCTCGCTAACACATTAATCTTGCGCCGTAGCACACCCCTCTTGGGTTACTCTGGAAATTCTCTTGTTATCAGTCTTTCTGATATGCTGTTGCACATATAGTTCAGACAGAATTTAGGACAGGTTTGTGTTTTGCGTTGTTGCTCTAATCACTGCTCTGCAGCTTTGTGAACTAACCCAGAGAAAAATGTTACCACTCGCAATAGTCTTTTCTTTGTCTCATTAGATACAAGTTACTGAAATCTGTTCCCATAAGGAGATAACTTATCCTCTCAACCTTAGAATAAGAGGAAAGATGAGATAAAATTCCAATTCTGAGGCGTGAGATTAAGCACTAATACATGTTTGTCAGTCGAGTTGTGTTTTGGAGCTCACTCTTAGAGTAACAGCGGGTAATTCAAGATAAAGATGATTTAAGATAATCTGTGAAGATGCATCAGCACAGGCAGCATGTGTGTTTATTTAGCCCCCCCTCCTGTCCTGAACCACTTCACCTCCTTTAGTTTGAGTTGAGTCCAGTGACTCATCTTTTTCAGCGAAATGTAATCACAGTTTACGAGAAGTCAAGCACTCAAAAATGTGATAAAGTAGAGCTTAAATCAACTTTATGATATTTTTGAGCATCTGGAGATGTTTTTAAATGGGCGGGGACTTGAGAGCAAATCCTTTAACCACACTTTGAGGTGATTCTCAACTGCAGACTGTATAAAAAACATGGACATAGTTTTCAGGTCTTAACAGTGACAATGTGAACGTGCCTTAAACCTGCATTCTCTTATATATCCAGCAGGGGGCAGCTACTGTCAGTGTAGCAGAAATCCAGTTGCATAGAATCTTTGCATGAAAATCCCCCTACTTCTCCCATGATCTACAATCTCACTAAACATGTTCCTGGTGAACTTTATGGGCTCAGTCACTAGTTTCAAGTCTACATTCATACAGTCTGATGTTCATTTTGTAAGTTGTGTTTATTAAGAGTCAAATTCATGTTTATGTTTATTACGCATCACCTCTCGTTTTAAACACGAAAATCCTTGATGGTCATAACTTAGGGGTGAGGTCACTGCGGCTACGTCCAGCTTTTATATACAGTCTGTGTTCTCATCAGATGCCGTTTAGCCTCTTTCGTCTGAGCACTCTCAATGTGTCGAACTTCAATCGAGCAATGCAAATGGACACTGATCACACACACTCAGTACTGGTCTCAAACTCCTTGGAATAGTTCTGCGTATCTGCAAACGTGTAAGACTTGACTGAAATAAATATGTGACATCAGGGACATATGTTCATGATACCCAGGAATTAAATTCCATGTAAAGCTGGTTATAAAAGCCATAACAAGCTAGCGATATTTATTAAAATTCTTTTTTTGTGGCTATTAACACTCCACACATTACTATTAAAAAACTTTAATTATTCTGGCACAAGAGCAGCCATATGTAAAGCACTCAAAAAAGGAAATAGAGAGATCCTAATACATATTTTTGAAATTGTCCACACCATCCAAGTGCATAGAAAAAAACAAGCGTCTTTTAAATGTCTTGAATGACATCTGCAAAATAATTTTACCTTTGTTGGGTTCATTTTTGTGCTGACTTCTTTTTAAAACATGATTTTAAAAGGTTGAATAAAATCAAACTATTATACAAATGAAGCATGTGTTTGTGTTTTTATTCCAGAAATAAAGATATATATTTTTTTGGTTTTCTTTAATTCTTTACCACAGGATGGCGCTGTGCTCCAAAGCAAACACTTGAGTGAGCTGGTCCCAGCAGAGGTGGATGAAACACTGCGTGATTTACAGGATGTGTGTTTCTCAAAAACAGTACTGCTGAAATAAAGAGGTTCAGGGAAAGAGTTGTGGAGTACAAAAATTCCTTTTTAGTGGAAAAACGTTGCATTTTAGCATTTTCACATGCTTGCCTCATAGCTTTTGTAGGAATTATAGTTCATAAGCTGATAAAAGTACTGACTTTCATAAATATACTTTAAAGCCCTTTCAAAATAAGGGAATGCCGGGGTGTTATAGACCTGTTAAAGTACTTGGGATTCTATTGTATCCCACTTTTTAGATGCTTGACATTAATATTTCTGCACTGCAGAAGTGTGGATGGCAAAACAATCAGACAGTCTTTCCAGAAGGTTCCCCTGTTGAAGTTCTGGTTTCTGTAGGTGGCGCTCTTCTCTTATGCAGCTGACCTGTGGTGAGCAGACTGTACAACTGTAAAATGCATCACTTCCTGTCTAGGAGGTAGGAAACCGCAGGGAGTGCAGTGTTAACCCCCCCCCAACCTTCAGTTTTTGGTGCCGTAAATAATAAACGTAGGCATTTATCATTTTTCTACTGCACTTTTGTTTTAAGGGCTTACATTTTTAATAGAGAACTTGTAGCGCAGCTATGGGCTGCCTCTTTCTCAGTCTCTGCAAATACAGTCAACAGAGGGTCTCCAGAGGGTTGTGGTGCACCAGGCCTGGAAAAAGCCCCTTTTGACAGTGGAATTTCACCGGGAGCGCTGTGTT